TATATATAAAAAAAAATATAATTGATTAGTATTTTGGGGATTTGCATAATTTTCATAATAATTCATCATATCTAGACCTAAAAACACACACGCACACACATATATGCAGAAAAGCACTGGATGGCCGTTTTGTCTTTTTGGGGGACACATCAGCAGTGCACATTCTCTACGAATTGAACCCGGACCGTTATGATACAACGCAAGCATCATACCATTAGGCCATCGGGCCTCGGTGGTGAAGTGGAAACTAAGTTAACTAGACACAATATAGCGTAGCTAATCCTATTTCCGATGGTGATACTCATCCAAGTATATATAACCCACAGAACAGGCCCCAAGAACAACAACTTCCTTCACTGAGCCACTCAATCCAGAGCATTAGAAGCTGGATCTAGCATAGGTTATATAACTGATTAGTAAATTGGGGATTTGTATAATTTTCATAATAATTCAACATGTCTAGACATAGAATCCTCAAAACAGACATGCAGAAAAACACTGGACAGGCGTTTCATCTTCTTTTTCTTTTTTTTTTTTTTGACTCATGAGCAGTGCGCATCCTCTACCGACTCTGAGAATCGAACCCGGACTGTTATGATACAACAAAAACATCATACCATTAGACCACGGTTGCGAAGTGGAAACTAGATAGAATCCTGTATACTGTGTATGCTTGGATAAGTAGCAGCACCGGAAATAGGATGAGCTGCGCTATATTGTATCTAGTAACTTAGTTTCCTATTCACCATCGTAGCCCGCTGGTATGATATGATGCTTGCGTTGTATCATAACGGCCCAGATTCGATTCTCAGTGTCGGTAGAGGATGAGCACTGTTGATGAGTCCCAAAAAAGGACGAAACAGTCATCCAGTGCTTTTCTGCATGTGAGTGTGCGTGCTGAGGATTCTAGGTCTAGACATGATGAATATATATATATATATATATATATATATGTGTGTGTGTGTGTGTGTGTGTGTGAGTGTGTGTGCCAAAATATCTCAATTTTCATTTTCTTAAATTTGGCCTGAGACACTGAATACACAGCCGAAAACAAGATTTTCCTGAAGATTTTGCACTCACTACGTGTATATATATATATATATATATATATATATATATATATATATATGTGTGTGTGTGTGTGTGTGTATGTTTGTGTGTGTGTTTATTTTTAGTCACATTTCAATATACCGTCACCTATAGAGAAAAAATATACCTTATTTAATGCTGGCTACTTCTCTTTTATTACAACAACCCCCAGAATTTGGAGTCTTTCTTTTGCACTTTATTTGCATTAAATAAGCTATTCTTCTCCATAGGGGATCATATATTGAAGTGTGAAAAAAATACACATAAAATTACATTTGACCGTTTAAATGACGTCACATTCAGTGACTTGAAATTGATTCAAGCAAACTTGAGAACGCCGGAATTAAACAAAAACAGTTGCGTGTATATATATATATATATATATATATATATATATATATATATATATATATATATATATATATATATATATATATATATATAATTCACCCTGTGTGTTTTATATATATATATATATATATATAAACACACAGGGTGAATCAAAATTATGTTAACACTAGTATGAGAGGGTGAGTCAAAATTATGTTGACTGGTATCAGAGGAATCATTTATTCAGAGTTTACTGATCGGTTTCCATCTGTCTACCAGGACAAAAAAAAAACAGCTATCAACAGTACAATTTAGTGCCTTGACACACATTTCACGGGGAATATTTGATATTACCCCTTTTATTCTGTCCTTGAGTTCCTCGATGTATCTAACATTTTTTGCTATACACACGATCCTTTATCATACCCCATAACCAGAAGTCACAGGGTGTTAGATCAGGGGTGTGTGGTAACCATGTCAGTGGTCAGCAGCGATCTATCCAACGATTTGAGAAACTTTGATCCAGACAAGCGCGAACAGTACAGGCAAAATGAGGCAGTGCACCATCCTGTTGGAAATACGCTGCTCGTCTGATTTGTAGGGGTATGTTATCAATGGCAAACTCTTGCAGTATTTGTAAGTAAGCATTTGCAGTAACCGTGGGAGTTGTAAAGGAATATGGGCCAATTACACCGTGTGACTTCTGGATATGGGTTATGATAAAGGATCGTGTGTATAGCAAAAAAAGTTAGAGACATCGAGGAACTCAAGGATAGAATAAAAGGTATAATATCAAACATTCCCCGTGAAATGTGTGTCAAGGCACTAAATTGTACTGTTGATCGCTAGTTTTAGTGCATCAATCGGGCTGCTGGACAGATGGAGACTGTTCAGTAAACTCTGAATAAATGATTTCTCTCATACTAGTGTTAACATAATTTTGACTCACTCTGTATACACACACACACACACACACACACACACATATATATATATATATATATATAAGCGTGTGTGTGTATGTGAGTACAGAGAGAGAGAGAAAGCGAGAAGAAGCCACTTATTGTGTTCACTTTGGATGAGAGGGTCTTTTACAAAAATAATGATAACCAGCTGATAATATTAAGTTGATGACATAAAAATTACAAACATTTTTAGTGTTAAAAATCTATTAGCATTAAATGTCATAAATATCACTTTTTAATAATATTTATAATCATAAAAAAAAATAATATGAAATGTACAGACTTGAAATTAAATTTTTTTCATTTTTAAAATTTTTTAAGATTGACGAACTGTGATATCAATAACCGTTTGGTAACATTATCCGCGATTCTTATAAACGGCTTCTTATTTGTCGCCCAGACAGCAACAATTAAAAAAAAAAATTACTAACTGCAAAATTTGTTGCACTCATTAGCAGCCTTGATTGAACCTCCCCCTATACACACACAAACATATGTATAGTTGCGCGTGCATTGAGTTTTTTCTATCGTCGAAATGACTCAGATGCTTTCACAGCCTGTTATGGAAATTCTATTGTAAATTATATTCTATTGTAAATTAATATGAATTATATGTAAATTATATGTAAATTTAACTAATGTAAATTATATGTAAATTAATGCGTTAATAGGCTATAAGTAGGATCTAGAATCCAGCTAAAGTTTATGTAAATCTGGTAAAGTGTAAAACTGTTTATTGACTTGATTACACGTTTCGACCTCTTTAGACTTCCTCCGAACAGAACCAAAAATGTGTGTGTGTGTATGTATGTGTGTGTGTGTGTGCTACAATATTAAGTCGTTAATACTTTTACAGCTAAGATGTCGTACGTCGTTCGGAATGAAAGAACAAAATTGTGTGACTTTTGTAAAAAGGCCGTTATTTTGATTCTTGCTATTTTTTTCTCTTTCTTTTTCTTGTTTTGTCGAAATTTGTTTTTATTTTCTGCTAGCTTTTCTGCGGTGAATTTAAGGTAAATCCTTATCCAATTGTTACGGAATTGTTTGAAAGTAAAAGATTCATTTCCTGATTATGCCTTTGTTTTTTCCATGTCGACAAGATGTGTATTAATAGGATATATTTGGCAAATTAATGTGTAAATTATGACGTCAATTCATTTTTTTGTTTTGTTTTTTTGTTTGTTTTTTCTTTTTTAGTAAAAAGAAGTGTTTCCAAGGAGATGCTAGAGACAGTTTAGAATTTGTCCTTATAGACACCGGATGTAACTGATCCAACCTCATTAGAAGAAAATATGTACTGGAAATAAATACCTTCTACTGAGGTCAACTGGTACATTAGTCTAAATGAAGCTCCAAAGGTCAAAATTTAATAGATTCTAATATTAAGAAAAATGAATATCCAACAAATAAGTTCAACAAATGCTAAAAAAAACTAAATTCATTTAACACCGTTTACGAACCGTACGAAATAATCTGTTTCTTATAAAATTAGAACGTTGTAAATATAAATAAATATATATGAATAAAAACAAAAGGAAAACTTATCTTAGCCAATGTTTCCTTCTCTGGGATATATATATATATATATATATATATATATTTATATATATATATATATATATATATATATATATATATATATATATATATATATATATCTTAGACAAGTATTTATTTTAAAAATCCTTATATTTGCCTTGATAAATTCCATCCGAGTGCAAAACGCGTCGGCTAATATAAATTTTCCTTTTGTCTTTATTCATATTGTCCTTTTCACAGATATGCCCTCTATCTGAAATGTTTACACATAAACAGGGTGGGTCAAAAGTAAGTTTACAGTTGTTTCATTATTTGTTTCACGTTTTAGATCTAATTTATCTAAATTCTCCCTAAATCCTCCCAAACCAGTATTTCAGCAAGATAGAACACACGCCCCCATTATGGTTTGACAATAAGGGACTACCTTAACTAAATCTTTCCACAGCGTTGTTTCAGAAGAAAGGGCAACATAGAATGGCCACCACGTTCACCTGATGTAACCTTTTTCAAGGGTGTAGTAAAGAACAAGGTTTATGAGAGAAATGCCCATATAGTGGAAGAATTAAAATAATACATCTCAGAGGTATTTATTGACATTGATGTAGATCGGGATGTGTGACGTTCATAGTGTTTTGGGGAAGTTCAAAGGAATGTTGCAATATTGAAGGAGGACATTTTGAGCGCTTAAGAAATTAAACTGTGCTAAAAATATAAGTAGTGTTAAACAAGTGTACATAAACAGTTTTGAACAAGTATGATTGTAACAAATATAAATGTAAAGTATATACCTACTAAGTGTAAGCCTACTTTTGGCCTATTCTGTATATATAAATATTAAATATATAGAGGGGTAGGATGAAGTTTTCAAACTTGAATTTGTCACTATTTTGCACCAATTTAATGAAGACATTTTTGAAGTACACTATTTAATTTAGTTTGTAGCTTTGCATATTTTTCGGGCTTTCAATATTGATTCAGAAAAATTATTTCACTATTTTCTTACACAAGCAAAACCCGTTTCTTGCGAGTTGAAATCAAAATACTTTCTCAAAGATATGAAAAGAAGCGGGGACTTACTACTTCCGGCATCGAGTTCACTAATCCACCTAAGGGCGCCTTGCATGTTGGCTGCGTTCCATTTTTGCATGTCTTGATGCCAAAACTTCACATTGCGCGCGAATCTCAACAGATTGAATCGATCTCCTTCATTCAAATCCCGCAAGATTTCAAGCATTGCTTCCCGGAGTTGCCTCATTTTCTTACCCTCCATCGAGTTGCTCGTGTCCAAAATGAAAAGGATGTCTTTTGGCAGAGGTTTTAAGCCTTCGGGAGCAAAGAAATGCACAAAATAACCATTGACAGCCTAGTGAAAAAAATACAAACGTTTATCAATTGAATGTAAATTTAGGAATAGAAGTGCTTACAGAATTATCGCACCTATTTACAATATCTTTTTTCCATATGAAAAATATTTTAAATTTATATACAACATCAGTAATTTATTCAGTTTTACTATAAACATTTGACTGTGATATCCCATGATGTTGGGACGAACAACAACAAATTAAAATAAAAGACAAGTATATTTTAATACATAATAAAATAACCTTTATTTATTTACTGCCTGGGAACAGCGAGGCTTACTTTTGATTCAAACCATGAATTCTCCGTGCGTGTCAGCTTGTCACCGTGTCGAATTCAGAAGTTCTCGCTCCGACTAGAGGACAAGGGAAATTGTATTTTGAGTTAACAGCGACTATTCATATTTTGTTGCTGTCAAGTAGGTATATTTCATCTTGTTTTAGTTGGTAAATCAATCTATTCTACAAATATATCTTGCTTTTCAGATGAATAGTTCGCCATAGATTTTTTATTCTTAAAAAACGTTGTCTTCATGTTTTTTTTTAATGAATTCAGCTCTTAAACAGCTAGCCTCATCAACTGACATTTTATTTGAGATCAGTGGATATCATTAATTGTTGACTAAAACTTTTTCTAACGATACGAGCATCATATATTTATGATTCAAGTCTAAATGACTTGTTAGCAACTCTGGGATTCATGTGGTTACGTCATTTCATGGAGAATCTGTCTGAAAATTAAGCTAAAAGAACAAACCAAATACGATGCTTATCTGCATGCAGACTTCTCGAAAAGAATTGAGGCGAAAAATGTTGACAACTTAATGCAAAGAATGCACAACGCCATTGTTCCTGAAATGCTTCTAGGAGTATCATGCTGTTAAAGAATATTCAATTTCAGGACTAACGTTTGTTTTGCTTCCATTTTTTCATTATTTTTATAATCTAAGAGAATTAAAATGGCGTCTTTATAGTTCTTCTATATAATTAAATCGGGATTAAGCTTTAAAATTATCCTTTTAAAATGAACTTTCTCGTCTTTTACGCGTTTGTCGCGCACGTTTGTACAACCCTTTCTTGTCGTTTAAGGGTTAAACTGAAACAAAAGGCGACTTCCAGTAGAAACAACAATATGGCTTTGGAAAAGAATTGCGAACAAAAACACAACGATTTTAGAAATTTGCTTAAAAATTAGAGTTAAAAACGTCATCGACAATCCGTTGAGAACAATTGTGCAAGATAAATCGAGAAAAAACAATTCGATTTCATTCAATAAGACTTTCGTTTTATTTTTTACTGTAACCGTTTCCTGAAAATTGAAATGAATGGATTCCGCATGAATTGCTTCGATTTGAGCTTTGCTCATTACTGTTTACTCGGAATAATAACTTGTGATTACTTGTGGCAAAGGTAACCAATCCTTTGTGAAAATCGTAAATGCATATTCTCAATAAAAGAATGCTTAATTTCAGTCAAAATCTGATTGATATCATTTTGTGCATTTTCATGTCAGATGTCCCCGGTGGTTGTCACGTGACAACATGTCTCTACAAATTTCCAATGTTTTTCTCGCCACTCTCGTCGTCTCCAGTACCTTAGTCTAGCTGATATCAATTTGTTCTCGGTTCGCCAATTACTTCAAATTTCGCCGTTAGAGTCTTTAAGACAATTTCTAGTGAAGACACTTATTATCGGCACCATCCTCATTTTCTCGCCCTACCTTCATTTTCTAAAGACTTTTCACTCATTGTTCTTGAGTTTTAAATTGTCCTGCCGTTGTTATTAATAAGGTTAGATTTTCTTATCTATATCTATAATTCTCAAAATGTTTCTGTATGTATGCGTGTGTGTGTGACCGGATGTTGTTTATACGTTTCCACAGTTTTCATCCGATTTCGATGAAATTGTTTTTGTTTGATAGATAATTCTTCAGTGGCGTTTTTGAGTCCAAATTTTTGGCGACAATGGCTCTCCACTGCTTCCTGCCCATTATAACTCTCAGCAACGTTTTACTATTTACTATTTGTTCTTGGATATATATCTTTCATAAAAACTTTAATAAAAATAGTTTAAATTATTACAACAATATTATCTATATCTATAATTCTCAAAATATGTGTGTGTGTGTGTGTGTGTGTCTGTGTGTGTGTGTCTGTGTGTGTGCGTGTGTGTGTGATCGAATGTTGTTTATACGTTTCCACAGTTTTCATCCGATTTCTATGAATTTTTTTTTTTTTTTTTGATAGATAATTCTTCAGTTCTGGTTTTGAGTCGAAATTAAACATTTCCCTTCTCTTGGCCAAGATATTAATCTCTCAAGTGACGTTATCGTTTCCGTTGCATAAAGCCTACAACTATAGTTTTAACGCGTTGCTTTCATTGTTGTTTATAGCCGTTCCCAATTTATTTTTTTATTGTCCTGCCAGGTTTTGCATTGCATTCACCGTAGTAAGAAGTAAGTTTGCTTTTTTATTACTCGGCATTTATTTTTCCAACCTTTCCTAATAGTTATTCGAGCTTAGTGATCTCTGTAGCTTTACAGCGTTCTCTTCTGGTATTTGCCCGCGCATTTAATTTGAAAAATTCATACTTGCCTAAGATATTCCACCAAAGAAAAGAACTTGCTTAGGTTGCAAAACCGCTGCCGCCAGGTCCGCCATGCGAGTAAGAGATAACGAATCGTCTTTTAACGTTCAGTTTGTTTATCTCAAAATGCCTCTCAAAGTCACTGAGTCCGAAGATCAACGTAACCATCGGCTTTCCAGATGAGCATACTTGAACGCTTTTGCGCGCGAGGCTGTAAATGATGATCAAAGGACTCAACGGCTGAAGAAAAACGCCTCTTCAACTGCTGCTTTGCGTGAGGCTGAAACAAGATTGAGAACGCAAAAACGGCCCTTTTTAGGGCCATCCCCCCATTCAAATTGTTAACACCCACCCACCCCATTTGGGGATGTGCTTCAATTGCCTCTAACTGTTGTTACTAATATTGATTTTCGGGTGCGCTGACTTTAAATTTAAACTGCTCTAATTGAACGGTAAAAATTCCGAGTAATGAAAGACCCGGTCGAAGACAGGTTATACTGCTAGTTCAAAATAAAATCGAGTCTCTTTAGCTGATAAAGCAAGTCACGAGTTTAATGGGTAGTTTTCTCTTGAAATTAAAATTCGGTTAAAAAGATAAACAATCATTTGTTTCAATGTTTTCATTTTCTTTTTCTCAAGCAGATCATAAGCCCTAATTTAACGATCAAGATCGGATCTGGTCATAACAACTTACTATGGATTGTCATTTCTTCATCTCTCTACTTAGAAACTTGGCTGTCTCAGGCAGTACTGTTTTCTGGAGCATCTCAGCTCGAACCACGGCCACAATTTTAACCAACCATTTTGGGGTTTTGTTTGTCACTGTTCCAAAGGCGCCCACAACAACAGGCACGATTTCCATTTTCTTTTTAATAATAATATTTATTATCATCATTATCAATATTATTGTTATAACCTAGAAAAGGTTACTGAATGAGGAATAACCAAAACAGTGGTTGGAAATGAAATGGTAATCTTTATAACATCAACAAAATACAATACTCGCCAGCGGCGTAAAGTAGGTAAACCACTGCTTGTGGTGGACTACATAGACAGCATATTACCCCTCTTGCAATAGTGTCCAACTTATTTATGAGGATTGGTGTTCATAGGTACAGTACATAACAATTATTATTATCATTAATATTATCAGCATCATTATCATCGTCAATATTATCATCATCGACAATATTATTATCATCATCATCATCATTACCATCTTCATTATCATCATCAATATTATCATTATCATCATCATTGTTATTATTATTGATATTATTAATTGCATCATCGGCCTGAAGGTCCGCGAAATTGGATAACAATAATCCTTCTGAAATGTTTATTATTCTTATGAGTATTTTCGTCGATTTCAATTCCGTTGTCGACTAAATAATCTCAGTTGCTCCTCCGCATCACTAATTCTTTCGATTTCTTTACAAACGGCCATAATGGCGATTACAAACAATTATCATTATAATTGGGCATTTTTCTTTTATTATCATTTTTGAGATTTTGATGATGACGATGATGATGATGATGATGATATCATCATTTCTACTTTCGACAATTCTTTAAAATGAATCTCCCATATTTATCCTCAACAACTCACCATTATTTCTCCGCTGTCGAATTTACGATCAACTTCGTATTCAATGATAAATGCGCCTCTGAGGGGTCGGTCTGTATCTGATGGTTTGTAAAATACGTGACCAGTCAATGGTGATGGGCGACTGATTCGAGTGTCTTGGCTGGTATCTGAAAAGAGAATAAGAATTTCCTTAAACAATCAATTCCAAAACTAGGCAGATGTGTCTAGTATGCAAAACTTGAGGAAAATAAATCAAAAAACACACTGAATGTCTCAAATTAGTATTGTCATTCAGGTTGTCATAATCACAACGTTTCTACCTCTGTACCTTCGAACCTTCTTCAGGTGCTTGTCGAAGTTGATAATCTTCCAAGAATTTTGAACCGAACTCTTTATTCATTTTTTTAATCAATTCACCCCAAGCAAAGCGATAATACCATTAATACGCAAGAGGCTACTTGAATGAAACAGAATGAAAAGACTTTAGAAGGAGCCGGAAACTCAATGCTACTCCTGTTCAAAATACCAGGGAGGAGTATGAACCGGACGATAGGAGAACCTATCTGCTTTTACTGAGGAAAAAAATAAATAGTAAATAAAATTTCAGAGTTCAGGTCGAGATGTTAGATGTATAGAATTGGAGTAGGCTTTAGAAGAAACTGGAAACTCAATCCTAAACAAGAAACAAGGGATAAACCTCTACTCCTTTCCCCGTTCTCGTATATTTTGACCTCATTCTACTGTCCATATTAGGGGAGATTATCTCGTGTTAGCTAATTCTAATTAACACATTAATGCCTACTATCCCCCAAAAGGGATGATGAGTATTAATTAGTTCGAGTTAGAAGCTTATAATTAATACTGGATTTTACGGTGAAAATCATTAGGTTAATTAGAGAGAAATAATTGAATTCAATCCATGGCTCAAGTGTTAAGAAAATGTTATATATGCTCTGATCAAGCCCGTCAACTGAATGCTTTGAGCAGTAAGGGGACGGACTTTAGGTCAGGTTGGACGCGAGTAGAAGTTTTTCATGTTAAGGCAGACGTAATCTTTTCATTGGACAAAGGCATTTTTCTCAACGTATTTCAGTTCGTGACGTATTTTTGGGAACTGTAGAACAGAAAGTTAAAAATAATTCACATTTAACTTATTATCTATTTATAATATAAGAAACATTTATATATATATATATATATATGATCGAAATAAAGTATAAAATTTAATATTACAAGACATATTAAAAAGTATTAAATAAAAAAAAACTCAACAACAAGGGGAAGCAACCGGTTTCGCTCCCGCTCGTCAGGCTTCCACGAAACCGGTTGCTTCCCCCCCTTGTTGTTGAGTTTTTTTTTTTTAATACTTTTAATATGTCTTGTAATATTAAATTTTATACTTTTATTTCGATCATTAAATTTTGTACCTACAAAAATATCTTTATATATATATATATATATATATATATATATATATATATATATATATATATATATATATATATATATATGCGTATTTGGCGGTGCCAAATACTATAGTACAGTTTTAAGTACAAGGAATAGAATGGCCAAAAATTTAATTAACGGATGGTGTTTAAACCACGGCCAACAAGTGTCTTTGAAACTATGTACGAAACGCTATAACTTCAGAAAATGAATAATAAATAACAATTGAAATAAATTGACACAAATCTATTAATTAATTAAAGAAAACAACTTAATAATTTAAATAAAGCAACAGAAAGTTTATCATTAATTAGTAATAGTAGTATGCCAATAATTTGGACTTAATAACGAATTTTTAGTAATTTTAATAATGAATTTTTAGTCTTTCTTTTTATGTACCATGTCCTTTCAGAACGTAGGCGATCATGGCTCTCCACTTCTCTCTATCTCTTGCAGCTCTCAACAAGTTCCTTCTCTCTGCTTCCTCCCCCAAACCACGTTCTGTCATCCACCTGCCCAATTCCGCCAAGTATGTCACGCGTTGTTTTCCCTTGTCTCTCTTTCCCTCTATTCGATCCTTGACTATCAGATTCTCCAAGCCCACCTTTCTCAGAAACTTCAGCCGTCACTTCCTGATATTAAGTATAAGTCTCCTCCTTGTTTGCAATCTCTCTAAGATCTCATTGTTGCTCACACGCTCGGTCTATGATATCCGTAGCATCCTTCTTTAGAACCATATCTCTGTCGCCTCGAATCTCTTCTTCATCTTTGAGGAAATCGTCCAACATTCGCTGCCGTAAAGAAGGACAGATGTCACGTAACAGTTCAGTATTCTTTTCTTTGTTACCAAATATATGCTCCTGTCTCGCAGTACTCTGCCCAGCTTTTGGAATGTGTCCTTGGCCATCCCAATACGACTATGGATCCCAGTGTTGGACTTACCGTCCTCTGTCAAGACGCTTCCCAGGTATTTAAACTTCCGCGTCTGCTTGATTCTAGTGTTCCCGACCTTCAGATCGCATTTTGGGCTCATCCTCTTACTGACGACCATGCACTCCGTCTTCTTGTAGTTTATGTTTAGTCCCTTCTTCTCACTCTCCGCCGCTAAGTTTTATTATAGCGTTATTTTAGAACTCGATTGTAAACAGGTGTGGGCTTTGGAGATAAAGTTTTACTCAATACTTCTATCCTACTTCTACAAACCGAGCCTCAAATTAAAGAAAACATTCACAATATGCAAATGTAGAAGTCTTACCTAAAACTTCACTCCCAAAAGCTAAACTTATTTATATGTATAATGTACACACATAATGTATACATGAACTAGAAGATGAAAGCTTGCCTCGTCATTTCTAACATCTAAAAATCAGAATATTGCATGGCATCGCTCACTAATGTTTACGTGATTACTTCGGTTTGGAGTAACAATGACTTGTTCCAAAATTAAAAAAGTCATAAAGAAAAAGCAAACAATGCTTTTATATTTCTTATTTACGATGAAATGTTTTTTTTGACGAATATGAACGATAGGAAGTGAAATAATTTCAAAGGTTGAAAATGTGTTCGATTAATGATTTACATTGATAGAAAGTAACACACTAAAATTAGTTTACGTCGTTTCGAAAGGAGTGAAGCAAATGATCTGGGTGGAGGCGATAGGCCAGATTCTGGTTCAATTGAAGATTCGAAGGACATCATAAGGACGAAATAACTAGGAATAAAAAATATAAATGTAATAGACATACAGAATTCAATTATAATTGTACGTGTCCCTCCTCCTTCGTTAGTTCGTACGACCGTTACTCCCTGCCAATACCTCATAAATAATGGACTATTCCGTTTTGATCGCGTGGAAAGAGGGGAAAAGACACTACTTGGTTTCAGTGAGAAAATGAAAAAAAGAAAGAAAGAAAGAATGGATGATAGACATGTTTAACAGCTGTTTCGGTGAAATTTCAAATTTTTTTCATTTGTACCCACTTCTTAATACACTGACCAGCATTCATATTTATAATTTTTATTGCAATATTTTGTTAAAGGTGTTAAGCGCAAATATTTAACGATGCGATAGGGGAACTTCTATTTTATTGTTGTACAACTCACCAGGACAGGAATTTATTTAATCATTAACTTAAGAATTAAGATTCATCTGGATATTAAAATAGAAAAACCGTGAAATTTTCACGGGTTAAAACTACTATGTATAAATTAAATTGGGTGCATTTGGGCAACAATTTCTGCTTGGTTAAGATTTTATACTTATTTTTTCTACGGTTAGGACTATTTGTAAGGTTTCCAGGTGGAGTTTCAAAATCAGTTGCCCAATACCTCGTGAGCGTTCTCGGCTTCCATAAATGATTATGAAAGATTTTTTGCAGATTAATAAGGATGTGTCCGGATGTAGTCATTGCGTCTCCTTGGAACTTTTCGAATATAGTACCCTCACGCATCAGTGGGTAACGTGCTGGCATTATTATATTAGAAGAATTAACCATAATTTAAAGAAAAAAAAAACGGCACAAAATCAAAAAAAATTTCATTCAATTTAGGAACAAACGTACTAAATATATTTCACATTGTGAAGAAAATAATGACAAGACACAAGCTGATGGGTGAAGACGCGATCTTCTTCTTTATGGGCTGTGTCCCCTCAAGACATAAACGATCAAGGCTCTCCACAATTTCCTGTCCCTTATAGCGCTTAATAAACTTTGTCTTTGTGTTATTTCCCCTAAACCCTGTTGCGCCATCCATTTACACAAACTTACTACGTATGTTATGCTTTGTTTTCTTCTGGCTGTTTTGCCCTCTATCTGTCCCCGTGAGTATCAGATTTTCCAAACCCTCCCTATTCTCTAAAATTTCGTCCTTGCTGACATTTTCGGTCCATGGTATCCTCTGTATGCTTCTGTAAAGCGAAATGTCAATATGACACTCACTATTGTGTGTACCTTGGAGATTTCTCATTTTCTCTTATTTCCTGCGATACAGGCAAATTCGAGCCACTGACCAAACAAAAATTAAATTTCGACAGTCAGTAGTGAAGGTTCCATGTACTCTATGGATGAACTGCGAGCTTTGTTTTTTTTTTCTGGGGTAAATAATTGTTGTGCAATAAAAAACAATAATTATTTATATTTTTTTATTATTCACCTGTCACTTACGACATTTTTCTTTTGTTGTTGAAATTTCTCACTCGTTCATTTCCTAGGATTAACTGTAGAACAGTGTAGACAGAGAAGAATTCAGCCTCCGTACACCACTTCCGCGACGGTTCTATGCGCAGGCTTAATGATCTGCCTAAGAACATGATAATTGAGTCGAGTTCGACGTATGAAGTTAAGAACATACTCAGATCATTTGTAAATACCTATGCCGATGATACGACGATATACGGGTGCACCACTAAAACTCTTGACGATCAGAGATTGGCAGCTGACCTCTATTCCGATCTCACACTAACTTCCCAGTGGGGGGAAAACTGACTGTTTATATTCAATATCTCGAAAGCCAAATTATTTACAATCTATCACCGCCGTTCGGACACCGATTCTATCGCCAGTCACGATAAACTGATATCCCATCGAAGGCATTATGCCCCAAGTGGGACTCATACATACGATCCATCGCTAAAGATGCGGGTAAAATGGTCGACTGCCTGTACTGCTGCAGTAAGTATCTGACTCCCCATGCTCTCCTCCATCTTTACAAGAGTCAGATCAGGTCAAAAATGGAGTACTGTTGCTATATTTGGGCGGGAATTGCACAATCCTTTCCAGTTTTGATAGAGTTTAAAAGCGTGTATATCCCAGAAAGGGATATATTCGTTCGAAGTAGCAAAGTAGTTGTTGTTGACTACTGTAACCGAATAGGACAATCTAGCAGTTAATCGTAATGGACTGATCCTCGTCGTAGTGGTAGGCAATAGGCGTAGGCAATAGGCGAAAACTATAAGCGTAGTCCCTGTACCTCCACATCAGTCTGTATTTATGGCTGACACCAGCCAATCATATTACTGTGAGGGGGGAACCCAGGTGTATGCATATTCATTACATCAAAGCGTCTCCGAGTCCTTGTCGGTGACAAACTATTTTCCACCCTCCAACCTCTTTCTCACAGGTGTGATGTGGCGAACCTCTCACTGCTCTGTCGCTACTTCCATGGAAAGTGCTCGGACGAACTGCATTCCTTGGTTCCGCCTGGTCTAACCTTTACAGCTAAGACCCACTATGCCACTTAAATTTTAGCAAACCACCCACATTCCCTCCGTATTTCATCAGTGAGAAGTTCCACTGGACTAGCTTCTTCTCGTGAACCACTGTTCCGTGGAACAGACTCCCAAGAGAATGTTTCCCCGATCACTACAACCTTAACCTGCTCAAGTCTAGAATTAACCGTTATCTTCCCTTCCTATCCGTAACCCTCTACCTCGAGTGCCCCCGGACCTTGTACATAGTGTAAAAAGATAAAGATAAAAATAAAATAAAAAGGCAAAGAGAACGTGAAAGTACTGAGTGAAAGAAAATTGAGGAGTTATGGGTCAGTGAGTGAAAAAAGAAGAAAGATAAAACGCGGTGACATTACTTTCAAATAAGATGAAGGTACAGCGTAAAGCTGATACTTTCTACAACAAAGTGATCGACGAATTTGCCAAAAAAGACACGAAGAATTGAATTGATAATAATTTTTTGTGTCATTACTATATTGATTATATTATTTTCTTAAGCTAGTCTCGTAACTATTAACGGCGGTCGTCACAGACTAAAAGCTACGGTTTCAATCTCGCCCTTTGTTACTGTAGTACTGTTGCGATGTTTCGTAACAAGTACACAAAATCAAACTGATAAAGTTAAAGAAGACGCTTGTCAAGAAATTCTGAATTCAAATCCTGCACTTTACATGAACTCGAGCACTGACTGCTTGATAATGGTAATATTAACCGTTTCTTTATATGGAAACATTCACCCTTCATTGACCGAGCAGCTAGTGATATCATCGGTTGAAAATTAGAAAATCTTTCTATTAAAACAATTTTTCAGAAAAATAAGTTTCTTAAGCGAAGTAACTGTTATCCCGCTTTCCAGATAGGAATTTTCTTCCTATCATTTTATTTTATTTATTTATTTATTTATTTATTTTTTTTTTTTGAAGTCGTGTGGAACATCAAAATCTTGATTATATCATTATTTTATCTTCAAGTTATATGTTCTATTCATTTTTGTTGTTGCTGGTGTTGAAAATCCTCAAGTGTTGTAATTTCTGTTATTTGGTATAGTTCTTTGTTTATGATTGCGTAGCACCAGTTCGCAAGGATGGATGGTCCTCACTAAGAAGTAACGGCTTTATATGCTGGAAATACAGACTTGCCAATGATAACAATGTGTAACAGACCCTAAAATATTTTGAATGTTAAAAAAAGTATTTTGAGTTCTAAATAGTGATAAAATATGTTGGAGGTTATCATAGGTTGTGGGAAGATTTGTTATTGTCAGCAGTTTCGCCTGGTATGTGTTTTCAGGGGTGTGGAACAGAGAATTTACACCCTTTGAGATTTTCCCACAGTTTGAAATGCATGAGCTGCTTGCTAGACAATACAATCCCTGCCACCCGGTGCTGATAGTTGATATCTCTTCGTTTAAAAAAAAAACTGCAGAAAAAATCCTTGAAAAACTGCAGAAAAATGTTTCCTTGAAAAACTGCAGAAAAAAATCCCCACCCATCCTTTTCTTTTTTCATTCTTTGTTTTATAATCTCGAGCAAGCCTGTCACAACCCCAGTCCACAACCTGCAGCCGTACAGAGCAAATCCGTCATCCCCCAACCACTAGGCAAGCCCATCAACCTGATTTCAGACAAGGGCATGTCAGCTTTTTCAAATATTTATTCCTTTACAGCAGAGTTTCTCAAACATTTTGTTGTTTTTTTTTACTTCAGGAAAATTAGTCATGACATTTGAAAATATGAAATCTTGGTTTAGCGTTCCCAAAGAATATTCTGTGTGTAGATATTTCTTTCCGCTTGTCTATTAGGCAAGAACACCTAACGCACGAGATCTCATTTTGTTACCAACGTACTGATTATGATTCATTTCGGGATTTTATTCGCGACGCCCCTTGTAGTGAAATGTTTAATCTTCCTGTAGAAAACTGTGCCACCGCGGTTTCTTCCTTGGTGAAAATCAGCTCGAAGTTTTCGTACCAGCACTGAAATATCAACTGAAACCACAATCTACTTACTGATTGGTTCAATTCTACCTGTTCAGCCGATATTGCCCACAGGAATCACTTCCAACGTGAGAGTACGTTTCATAATAGACGTTTTTTTTTTTTTTTGTTTGTTTGGTTTTTTTTTTTTTTGTATCCGCTCGTAATGAGCGTAAGTGTGTCCTAAACGAGGCTAAGTCCCTGATCGTTGAAAGAATGAGACACCGTATAGCCTCTCACGAATTTTCTTCTCGAGATTACTGGCGGCTCTGTAAGCGTGTGTTGAACACTAGTAAATCTACAATCCCTCCTCTCTTCTGTCAGTTTGAAGTATTGCTATCTATTTCTAGCTGATAAATCAGGATGCTTTGCTCGGAAACTCTCTTCGACTTAACAGTAGTATCTTTGCCTGATGCCCCCACTCCCCAGAATGAAATGAGTGATATGTACATTTCATCCATGGTTTCTATCATCTACAAACTAAATCCCACAAGGCATTCAGACTTGACGCTATCTTTTTAGTTGTCCGAAGGAAATGCAAGCCTGAACTGGCTCCTGTTCTCTCTAGACTCTACAACAAATGGCTTGCTTGTTGCTTTTTGCTTTCCAGCTTGTTCGAAATGCCTTTGATGTATTTCCTGTCTTTAAGAACTATGCAGAACCTGTTGATCCTTTGAATTATCGTCCTATTAGACTTCTGCCGCTGTTTGAAAAAGTACTAGATGCTCTAATCAATTCCGAATTGGTTAATCATCTCACTTCACACGACCTTCTTTCACATAAACAATATGGCTTTAGTTTCTATGAATCAAATACCAATGTGCTAACGGTAATTACTGAATTTGTCTATCATGCTTTAGATAAAAGCGAAGAGGATCGGCCTGTGGGTTAGATATCTTGAAGACGATCGACTGGGTTTGGCATGCTGGCTTTCTTCACAAGATCAAGGGCTACGGTGTCTCTGGCCGAATATTTGACTGAATCCAATAGATCTTAATAAATAGTGTAATGAAATTTTTGTCACGTACGGTGGTCGTTAATAATTAAGTATAACACAAGACTTCAATAAAGCAGTATTTAATTACAACCACAAATAAATACTTAACAAGAACAAAGAAGTAAAAATCAACCAAAGATAACCAGTTCAGTAAATACCTTGTTAGTAGCGCGGTTCGGCTCGACTTAATTCTAAATCAAGACCCAAATCATCGACGCACAATAATAATTCACACTAATTCGACTAGATAGTACCACTCAATAGTCACTCAAGAATCACTCAATAATCAACCCCAGTCCGTAGCCTAACACTTCTATCTATTACGGTATACATTCGCTGCAGAATAACTATCAGTGTAGGCATTACTGCGCAAACTGAGCGTGTCTACGTAAATAGTTCTCGTGCGTAGTAATTGAGACCAATTTAGACAAGAAAGATCAGTTCTGAGTTTAGCTTTCCGTAGTCTTTCGCGTTTAGCTTTCCGCAGCGAATGTATGCAAACAACGCGAGTAATGGCTGTCGCCAAAGGCACGATTGAATCACAAATTCCACTGTCGATAACTCCAAAACGGTAGATTTTATAAAATTTATCAAGCCAAATTAGAATGGAAGTATTTTGGAAATTTTTAATGAGAACTGAGTGAGGGTGTTACACTGCAAATTAACCAAATTCTGTTGTTATAGTTTTAAAAGAAACTTCCATAAAATAGTCTTTTTTTAATACTGTAGTAATTTATATAATAATGGTAAGGGACTTCAATGAAGAATTTTTTTTAAATGTCATTAGAATCGTTTATTCCTATTCATCCATTTCCCAAAGGCATTAATGCTAAATTAAGACATTACCTCAATCTGAAGTAGCTTGCACGATTTCATTTTCCGAGCGATTAAATACTTGACTAACGGCAGAACTTCTTAGAAATAGATAAACGTTTACATAGATTATTAGAGCACTTCCGGTTTCTGCGGTATCGCGTAAAAATATTTTCCTTTTGCAGTTTGATAGCAGTTTTAATCCTAAAGTGATCTACATCGATCACTCGTGATCTCAGAGATCAGCTCCCCCTATCCTCAGGTCCAGTTACCTCATAGATTAATTTTCAATCCCCAACGTCCGGCTGTTCGATCGGCCATAGAAGCAAATAATTGCCGATTTTACAGTAATCGATTTGTTCTTTGCCTTATGCAATGTTAATAACAAGTTGCTAATTGATTTAAGAGCGACAAATCAATCATCCTTACCGATGGAAAGCAAAGACGGGTCATTCGGGCGCAACGGCGGTACATGGATGAAAGTTATCTTCTTGGATTCTTGAATGAAGACTTCAATGCTGACATTGTTAACTGCTTGACCTGGGTCCACATAAATCGGGTGCTCGTAAAATCCCAGCCGTCTTTGTAGAAGTTGTTGGTAGCGGAGATCAAATTTAACTTCACTATGGGCGGCCACGTTGATCGTTACCAAAAATCGGTTGGTGTCACGAGGCCTGAAACAAAATGAAAAATCAAGTTACGCAAATGGCAAGAGGTCTTTTTTTCTGCTTTATCAGAGAAGAATGAAAAAAAAAACTATATTTTATCGTGAATATTGTTTTCATGGTTCATGTCAGTAAACAAATTCTCGCTTTCATTACAATTCTAATTTACGCTCCTATTTTAAAGTTTAAATAAACTTTAAACTTTTTCTTCTGTAGACATTTACTAGACTAAGCTTTATCTGGAACAATGCAAATTTTCAGATTAAGCCTCGGAAATCAATTGTAATGAAATTTTCCGTTCTGGTGTAAATTTGTATGCCAATTTTGAAAATAACAAAAGTTTGCAGAAGAAAATATAAGTCCGGCCTCATTAGCGTCGCGGTTACAGCCCGGCCGACATTACTGGCTTTGTTTACATAAGTTTGCCTCGATTAGTAATTAGTGTCACTTGTCTTGATTACTGTGCAATGCGCGAATCTTAAGTTAAATTTCATGAATTACGCAGTAATCAAGACGAATAAAAACATAAGAAGATCAGTAAAAAGACCGTTAACTAAGTAAGCTTCCGCACATTACGACTCGAGGTAAACGTATGTAAATAACGCCAGTAATGGTAGCCGGGCTAGACGTGAATAAGACCGAACATCTATTGTCGATAACTCCTAAACGATTTTATTGTGAAAACTTTTGTCATTTTGGAATTAATCAGGCAACTTCACACCAGAATGGGAATTTTCATTGCAGTTGGTTTCCGGGGCTTAATCTGCAAACTTACCATCTATAATTGGGCCCACTCTATAGCAGACTTTAAACTTAACTTATTTTGACACAAGGCTATAATAATTGGACAACAATGAGGATTGAGATCTGCAATGAATTGTGAACGAAAGAAGCTCATGATTATTTTTATTATACACATTGTTTTGACATTATTACTATCATTATTACCATATTTGACGGCATATAAAATGCACGTGTGTATAAGACGCACCCCAATTTCAGCAGGGCAGATCAAGAAAAAATTAGTAATTAATAAAATTAGTAAACATATATGGCATATAAGACGCAGGGGAATTTTAAAAGACATTTTTAGTAAAAAAAAAAAAAGTGTTCCTTATATGCAGTCAAATACGGTAATTTTTAAAAAAGGAAATTATAATAAGTAATTATAATAATAGCCTTAACCCAAGTATTTATTATTATATGTTTGTTCTACTATAGCGAAGTCGAAAAAAACTGGACTTGTTTGACAACCAGTCTAGGAGAAGTACAACCATTTGGCAACACTTGGAGAAAACTAATTCCAGTCCGTACCAATTTCCGACATGCATTGCTGCGCGCCAAACAAATCGGAAGTGTACCAAATAAATTGCTCAAATAAAAAGAATAAAGGCGAATCATCTTCGTCACCGAAGTAGATACGATTTTTGATTTGATCTGTTTGCTTAACGGCATATCAACTCCCTATGAGTCATTTAATGCCAAAATTTAATTTTCTTGGGAGTTTTGAAATAATGATACTCAGCTTTTGTGTATATGCATCTTTGTGTGGACATACTTACCATAGACGATAATGTGTATGTTTTATGTTGTAATTACATTTTGGAATACAGTTTGATTTCTTTAAGAAATTGTCGGATATTATATGGATTAATGTCATTAAATTTTTCATGTTGATTGATGCATTATTGGTAACTTTACTATAAATAAGTATTTTTATATATCCAAAAATGTATTTCTGGTAGTTTTACTATAAAAATGTATTTTTATATTTTCATAGTGTTTTATTTTTGTTTGGGGGTTCACTATTTACCCATAGCTGGGAGCTTAATTGGTGCTACCAATCAGGATCATAACAACAATTAAGAGGTGGTTCCACACTTCTCAAAAGCTCCAATATCCCGATCAGAGGCCTTGCTGCCCGATGTAGTTTATCGTCATACCCAGGACAAGTAGATACGAAAAAACATTACGTGATATTATTAGACATTTTATGTTATGAAAATATGGGAAGGACAGAGACGCAGTTGTATTGATACTCATGCAGTTAAGCCTGCGATTTATTATATTTTATTATACCTGCTCACAGTAGATATATCTTTGAAGATCAAGTGACAGTAAGTTTCTTCAGATATCTAGTTCTCTCATCTGCAAATATTTTAATATTGCTCTGGTGTATATTATCTCAACTCTTTCAGAGATTTCCAAATTCGCCAACGTTTTATAAATGCCTTATTTTTCTTCGCGCACGCCAATCATGATGGGTATTTTGCCGATTCACTAAAGACTTTCCATCGTCTCGTTCTATTTCAGTTAGTCGTATATTTTTCCCGTTATAATTAATTATTATTTGGATTCAGTTATAGGTATTTTTGTTATAAAGTAATGGCAATGTCCTGGTTCGAAATCCTTAAAAGGATACTGAATACGACGAACACTTGAAGAATGCCTGAGAATACAACGACCGAAATTCTGTGACTGTAACAATCAAGATAAGGACAATAACTCTATTCGATCAGTATATGATGAAGATAATTTTTCATCGTAGAAATTAAGACAACTGTTTTCTTTTATTTTCTTTTGTTTTGTATTCATACGATTAGAGTATATGGCTAAATGTACCTCACTTGCACAATTCACAGTGAATAATTTTCTACACAGAGTTATGTCTGCCTTTATATTTTTTTTAATATTTTATTTAATTTCTTTTCCCAAATATTTGCTATTTTATTGATCTTTGCCTTTGCATAATTGATCCTAATGCAATTGTTTCCGACTGTTATTAGAAACAGTATCACTTAATTTCCGACTGTTATTAAAAGTCATGCTCTTTCTCTTTATAGATCTTCTCTTCTCAACCTGGTTCACTAAAACTAAATGAAATACAAAACAGAATGAGATAAAAAGGAAGTAAAGGAGAGAGGAAAGGAGAAACAAACAGGTAGGTAAGTAGGTAGGTAAGTAGGTAGGTAAGTAGGTAGGTAGGTAAAAGAAAAATAAAAAGAAGCCATGTTACTTTTGCGCCACATGACCAGCGCTTAAGCCTTTTCGTTTCGCTCTTTCAAATTCTTGTTTTGCCATTTCTTTCTCTTTTACTTGTCCGGGATAAAGGACGCCGCCCATTTCCCTGAAAAAAAAATACAATACAAAATTATGTTGATATTTTTCCAAACGAATAAGACAATAAAGATATGTCAATGTTAATGTCATTTTTCATTTTTATGTTTCTTTTTGCAAATATCAAATAATTGTCGATAAGGAAAAAACATATAAGATTAATTTATTAATGTCTGTCTACAGGCGGCATGGAAAAATCACGATAAAATAAAATTATATATATATATATATATATATATATATATATATATATATATATATATATATATATATATTCAAGAATCTGTTAAGTGTATATAAAAAATTCCGTGTAGATTAAAAGGTTTATCATCATCTTTATTTTTATGCTGGACAAAAAACAAAAGAAATTCTTATCGAAATATTGAGAAAAACACCGACAACTTTCATTTGTTAATGGAATAATGCTAAGATAAAGGCATATTTTTTGTAGTTACTCTTAACCTTTCAAGTCTTGATTTAATTAAGCTTATATTTAAATTTTCTTTTCGCAAATTCATTTCGGTAAAAATGCAGACATTTTATTTTGCATTTCATTCGAAACTACTAGACTATCGTTTGCTTCAATCAAATTGTAATTACAAAATCGTGGGAAATTCTAACTATTCGAATTAAACTTTATCTGGTTTACCCAAACATCGTGTCGGTCCTGAATAAATATTCACAGGATTTAGATTTCCTTTACGAAACAAACATAATTTTAAATGTAGTTAAATAAACATATGTTTAAGTAAAATTCCAGTTCCTATTTATAGCCTATTCATAGTCATTTTCCCAACCAGCCTAGCGTACATGTTTGGTTCAAACTTCAGCCATATAAGAGACCCCTTCCTATTACCACAGAGATAACCGATACCCAGTTGCCTCTGTTGCATCAGTTGTTGAAACAAACAGAAGGTTTAATGTTTATTTAATTTATATTGTATTTTGACAATTTTCATTCTATTTTCTTATGTTAAATCAGTGCAGTAAAAGCGGGAATATTACATGGTAGTTTTATCGAATTAAGAAAAACGGCGTAAAGGTGTAGTACAAGGTCTTTCACGTGTCTACAATTGTGAGAATGGTTCATATTTCAAATTGGTGTCGAGGTAAACTCCTTGGGTTTGAAGAGATTTCTGCTTTTTAAGATTAAATTGGTACACTAAAATTGACAGGATTTGAAGTCATATACATATATATTAGATGTACTTGTCTTCCAAATTTATATATATAATTTAATATTTGTTAATCTTAGCTCCGCCAGGCACAAGTAATAGATCACCCTATTAGAATCGAACTCACTCCATTTGTAATCTAGTCTTAGAAGCAAGCTTGTAAACTCTCATCTACCGGGCTTTCTGCTATACTAAGCTGAGCTTTGTATTGCAGACAGCCATAAGTACGGGTGATTGGACTCAATAGACAGTCATGTGCCATGCGGGATACACGCTTAGGCGATCATGTACCTTTCGATACATGACTGACGAGGTAGATTTTTTCACGCAGTAGGTAGCCATTTCTTTCTGCGGTAGACCATATAGAACTCGGACTGACCTGCTATTTACCTCTTCTCCCCTCCTGCTGGGCGTGGGGGGTAGAAGACGATTTATACCTTTCCCTTTCTGACTGGATTTCGAACTCGGCTCTCCGATTTCTCAATCCAAGCCGTTATCCATTACTCCACTGTTCCTCCTACTCAATACACACGCAAGTGCAAAATGAAATTACTAAAATCCGTGCTACAGTAGGAGCCCCTTCTTTTAGCTTAAGTAGAAATGAAAGCTGAAGATATGAAATATTTAGACGAGTGTCTTTATTTTTGTTGTTTCGTTTACTGCTTTCCTTTTAATGGACTTTCGGGCCTTCCTGGGGCGCAGGTTTCGTATCGAGAAATACGAATTGTGCTTATCTCCAATCGTCATCGGTCGACGAAGAAAACTTTTCCTGGAATGATTCATTTAAAGCAAATATGAAAATTAACTGCCACCGATAATCAGCAAGGAAGTGGACATTGCAGAGAGAAAAAAAAACTAAGGTTACTGCATGCGATACCCACTTGAGGAAAGCTAAAGAGGACCCCGATCTTAACATTGTGATCAAAACAAGAGTGAGAATGCTAATCCATATAATCCATTCATAAATAACAATAGTTCAGACGGCACATTAAAATGTTGACTATAAATAGTCAAAAATAGTCTAAAAACATAAATCCGAAAAAGTTAAAAAAAAACATGCTTATATGCTATCAGTATTTGATCGACAAAAAATCACTTTTCATGAATACAATATTGACGACCTACAAATATGCTTTTCAGAGTTACTTTTATTCTTTATATTAAAATCTATTTGTATAAAAGAATTAAAAAACTGGAGAAAGCGATTTCAAAATATTGTGCGAAATCTTGACTCTTTTCGAAGCGGGTATTACAATTTTTTCACTTCACCTTAGAGAGAATGTGTTTCTAATAATTATTGACTTTTTCAAAAAAAAAAAAAAGATGCCGACTTTTGTTATTGGCTATAAATCAGAATAAAAGAGATTCATCTTGGTGCTTGCATCTTGGAATGTCCATAAAGAGTATTCCTTAACTTGTACTCTGCCATCATCATCATCATCATCATCATCATCATCACCACCACCACCAACATGACCTCAGTGGGGAGAAGTTTTTCCATTAACGGCGACATCTTCCGAACAGTTTACAATTACCCAATTTTATTCACAAGGCTTGGCCAAAACATGGTAAAATTTTCAGGCACTTCCCAAGGGCGCCGCTCGATGGTATCGTCTCCCTATGCTGATATTATCAAGAAGTGATTTCGTTGACAAATTGGCCCTGGTTAGATTCGAACCTGATTATTAAGGTCTAAATCCTAATATTCTAACCATTTGGTTACATAATAAAATAGATGAGTTTATCTTTTGGGATGTCTGGAAGAGGGTGAGGAAAAAAGATAGTTTATTTTGGTTTTATTTTGAATTTAATGCCCCAAAAAATTCATCAATCTCATTTTAACCTCACCGTAAGCATATTAATGTTTACTAACTTCTATATATGGATCAATAAGTTCATAGCCTGACACGTCATTATTAGCAGAATTTTGATCTAAGGTTTTCACTTTATAATATTCTATTTGATTAATAATTACCACTGAATTAACTAAATTAACAAGATAGGTTTATATCGAAAAGAAAATGTGTGCTGCACAAGATAACTGCATTTTTTCACAATGGGTTTAAAGATTTACCTATATAAAAAAAGGTGCTGAAATGTTCACAGCCCACTTCCCAAAATCAGTATTCTGAAATTTACACATTGAAACACGGATTCTGGCAAGTAGGTCAAAGCGAAAAATTTTCAGCAACACTCACTTCCTCCTATATATATATATATATATATATATATATATATATATATATATATATATATATATATATTAAAAAATAAAAAAAAAGACCCAAAAATAAAAAATGACCTATATATCGGCCTGAGGACTGCGTCTAGCATGAAACAGTCTGTCGCCTCTGAGTGTTGACTTCAATGTTCACTTTTATATTTATATTTACATACGCTCTATCTCTGATATTGAGCACTTTATCCCATAAATATAGCACACCTTAAAACTATATTTCTTCATTATATATATATATATATATATATATATATATATATATATATATATATATATATATGCGGCGTTTAAATATATCACGTATATAATGCGTTAAAAATTTCCTTTTTCTGCGGTGCGCCGATAGCCTAGGGTAAGGGTCTATATATATATATATATATATATATATATATATATATATATATATATATATATATATGTATATATATGGTGCGATGAATAAATTGTCGGCTAAATTACGCAGAAATGGAAATAACACTGATTCTCCTTTTAACTGATATATTTATCAAAATTATACAAAAATATCTTGAAATACTAAACTGTAAATTTATTCAATAAAATCGGCACGGCTTTCAAACGACTTCGGAATCCCCTGTAACTCTTCTGGACGGTCTTGTTTAAGTTAGTGAATGCTAGCACAATACTTTCCTTCAGTTCATCTTCAGTGTTACAAGGAGTTTTGATGATCGCTCCCTCAACTACATCCAACACATAATAATCAAGGGGTTGCAGTCTGGGGAGTTAGGTGGCCAGATGTAAGAGGTGATGTGGTCACAGAAATTGCCTGACACCCATGACTGGGTTCTCCTGCTTGTATAGCCTACGGTCTTCCAGTAGCCACCTTCTTCACACAGAGCAGCAGTACCTTCTCAAGGCACTTGATGCAGGCCTCTCTGTTGAGCCTGAGGCGCTCACCAATAAATTCTGGAGTTCTTTTCTTATCAGAATGATCAGAGTGAATTTACCGAGCCGCCGTACCTTTGTAATCACCATTAGACTCATCTACACTGTCCTCAAATTGACACTCAAACACTCTGAAATGTTTATATTGGTGCGATTGCTAAGTAGTAGAGCATGCCGTATCCAAATTTCTGGCGAAGTGAATTGCGTTGTAGTGCTCTTTTTCTCTCAGTCAGTGCCCAACTGACCCTACTATACAGTACAGTCGACAAAATCAAAAACAAACCACCCGACGTGACCGAAATTAAAAATATAAAATGGCGACAATTTACCCATCGCACCCAGGTCTGTTTATTTAATATGTTATTGTATTTCCCCAACGAATAAACTGCCCAAATTTTCTGTTTTGGTGTTTTTCTTTTAAGATAATCTCAAATAATTGAACACAAACAGTGAAACACTGATTTTGGCAAGTGGGTCGAAGCGAAAATTTTTCAGCACCCCCACTTCCTCGTATATATATATATATATATATATATATATATATATATATATATATATATATACGGGGCGTTTAAATATATCACGTATATAATGCGTTAAAAAGTTCCCTTTCTCAAATACTTGAGCACAAACAGACCAAAAGAACTTCGGGGAATATATCAACAATTTTGATCTCGATATACAAAATA